CAGAGAATATATATATATATATATATATATATATATATATATATATATACTTTTACTTTTTAGCATATCAAGATGTTTCAATGCAATGAAGGTGCTTTAAAATATCTGGATGATGTTAAATATGTTGATAGAAATATATAGTAGGCCTATAAGCTATATGTTTAATGCATTGAAGGCTGCGTACACATATGGTTGTAAGTAGCCTACATTCCTATGCATCAAAATATGTTATTTGTCATACTGTACATTTCTATAGGAATCGTAAATGCTGCAATTGTGCGCTTCAGTGATTATTCAGAAGATTAAAGTGGTGACATCAGAAGCGTTGACACCGGCAGCTTTCCATTGGTTTAGTGCAAACGTGATGACATGAAAGGGAGTTGGAGCTCCAAGTATAAAACTCCAGCAGGCGCACAAACCCACGCAGCGCGCGGACTGAAGGACTGCATCACGCCTGCTCTTCTGCCGAGAATCCACCCTTCATCATCATACTCATCATCCAGCATGAGTGAGGTGAGCTTTCCTCATATACTATAACCCTCGGTGCACGATGCATCACTCTACTCTATTGTAACGAGCTAATGGGGTTTCCCTTGGAGGAAATTCTCTTTCAGTGTTGGGGAGACCTGAAAATGCAACATTAAGACAATGCCTTGAACTTGCATTGATTGCAGTCAGACATTCCCCGGTTTGCTGAGTCTGAGGGCATGTTTTCTTCACTACAACCGCAAAAAGAATCGTTTTAATAACTGAAATGGCATCCATTTATCAAAACAACATGCTTAGTAAAGCTTAGAAGAGCGCGACGGATTGGGAATATTGTTCTGTTGCATCTGCGCGCGCAGGCAGATTGTAGAATCAGCATTATCCACGCGATGATGATTAATGATGCAACAAATGACAGCTGTCAGTTAAGACTGGGATGACACGGTGATGGTTTACTGATGATATGCGGCAAGTTAATTTGCTCTCATGATTTTTAATTCGAATTAGCTAGTATTTTGATGCACCGAATGCTTTTAAATTAAGTTGATAATGTTTGCTTGAAATATATGCATAGCTATATATTTAGAATTAGTTTTTTTTTACTGACGATGCACATGGAGCCACCACAGATAGTTGAACGTTTTTACGCATCTTTCGCCTACAGCTGTCTGGTCTCTTTTTCTGGCAGATCTTTTTAGGATTTATCTTTAAATTAGGGCTGAATTAAAAACATTTGAGTCAAAAACGTAAACACAGCCGTTTAGTAATTCGTTCGGATCCTTTTAATAAATAGAATTGGTTTGCAGAACAGGTCAAAACGATTCGTTCACAAAACGCACTGATTCGAACTAAGCTGTTCTCGAATCAGCAACGCACTGATTCATTAAACCGAGAAAGGTTTGTTGTGGACATGTCTGATTCGTAATGATCCAAGTTAACCCCTCACTAAATCATTCAACCGAGAATAGTCTCTTATTCCCATAATAATTCCCCATATCTATCCCCACTGACAATGATCCTTCACGAAAGTCACCGACTCATTGAACTGATAGGACAAAGAGCAGCAATGTTAACCAATAAAAGTTGATTATGACAGTTTCATAAACATAGTTGGTTTTAATAACATCATTTTAATAAAGAACGTATAAAACTATATAAATGAAAATACCTTTTGCTATTGTATTAAATGCTAATAATATTTGGGTTCTCCTAAATGGCTTGTTGTTTTTAATGAGCTTAATCGTGGCTGCAATAAACTTACCTGTTATACATGAAATGACAAACAACAATATATGCCTTATATAGAACTCCTGGAACGTTTTAGAACGCCTAATATGCCGATGTGTCAGTGATCACGTGATGACTTGTTTTTTCCTTTGAGTGTTCGAAATAACCGATTCCAGAAATGATTCGGACTTGCCATCACTACTGCCTTGCACGCACTCGAAATGCCCGAGGCGCGCGCGTTTGTGCATAATGCGCGGCTGCGCGCCGACCCACTGCAGCAGCAGTCTATGAGGAGCCGCTTCCCTCACAGCAGGAGCAGGAAATGTTGAAATGTTATATAAATTATAATTTTGGTCTCGATTAAAAACATGCCTGAACGTAGTATTTGCTAAGAGAGCTTAATAAGGCATGTGGTGCACTGCACATCTTCAGACAAATCCGCTGGCCCATTCAAGCATGTCTGTCAGTTAAATGAACAGAGGAAGCACATGGAATCCAGAAATACTGGAGAGAGCATCATAAGCAGGGAACACCTCCATACAACACTCTTGAATAATTAAAGATCTTCTCATGACCTGTTCCAGCAGTAGCCTACGTTCTTCTCACTGAAGAGCCAAAAGAACTTACTAATTTAGACTGAAGTGCTTGCATGTCCAGGCATATTTTTGGAATTCCAGAAATGTGGATGGGAACAAGGGAAAACACAGGTGGGCAGAATCCTATCAGTGGTAAAGATGCTCATTATGGTCTTTATGGTCATTATAACAATATAACCTCAACACTTATTCATTTAATCATTTAAATTACGAAACATTATTTAATTACTATGCACATTTACTGAATCGTTTTGGGGTTTGATCGCCCCAGTTTCAAGGTAGAAACAAAAAAAAAATGACTGCAAAACAAAACAGCTGTCCTGTTTACAAGAGTCTGTCTGAATTTGAGGGGGGTGTCAGCATTAGGATTTGATATGTTTAGGAGTGTAATCTCTTTTGGCTCAAATGGGCTCTGTGACACATTTACCTGATTAGGTATCCGAGTCATTGTTTAAACAGGGATTTCATATGCAGTGAAAATACACCGCACAGACTGATGAGATCAGACAGAGAGATCAGGATTAGGCACAATCAGCGGTGACCTCCACTGATGTTTGTATGGATTGATTGGTCTTTCCGACATTTGAGGGTGGAGAAATCACTTTTTCTCTTTGTCTTCCGACTCATTGAACTGATAGGACAAAGAGCAGCAATGTTAACCAATAAAAGTTGATTATGACAGTTTCATAAACATAGTTGGTTTTAATAACATCATTTTAATAAAGAACGTATAAAACTATATAAATGAAAATACCTTTTGCTATTGTATTAAATGCTAATAATATTTGGGTTCTCCTAAATGGCTTGTTGTTTTTAATGAGCTTAATCGTGGCTGCAATAAACTTACCTGTTATACATGAAATGACAAACAACAATATATGCCTTATATAGAACTCCTGGAACGTTTTAGAACGCCTAATATGCCGATGTGTCAGTGATCACGTGATGACTTGTTTTTTCCTTTGAGTGTTCGAAATAACCGATTCCAGAAATGATTCGGACTTGCCATCACTACTGCCTTGCACGCACTCGAAATGCCCGAGGCGCGCGCGTTTGTGCATAATGCGCGGCTGCGCGCCGACCCACTGCAGCAGCAGTCTATGAGGAGCCGCTTCCCTCACAGCAGGAGCAGGAAATGTTGAAATGTTATATAAATTATAATTTTGGTCTCGATTAAAAACATGCCTGAACGTAGTATTTGCTAAGAGAGCTTAATAAGGCATGTGGTGCACTGCACATCTTCAGACAAATCCGCTGGCCCATTCAAGCATGTCTGTCAGTTAAATGAACAGAGGAAGCACATGGAATCCAGAAATACTGGAGAGAGCATCATAAGCAGGGAGCACCTCCATACAACACTCTTGAATAATTAAAGATCTTCTCATGACCTGTTCCAGCAGTAGCCTACGTTCTTCTCACTGAAGAGCCAAAAGAACTTACTAATTTAGACTGAAGTGCTTGCATGTCCAGGCATATTTTTGGAATTCCAGAAATGTGGATGGGAACAAGGGAAAACACAGGTGGGCAGAATCCTATCAGTGGTAAAGATGCTCATTATGGTCTTTATGGTCATTATAACAATATAACCTCAACACTTATTCATTTAATCATTTAAATTACGAAACATTATTTAATTACTATGCACATTTACTGAATCGTTTTGGGGTTTGATCGCCCCAGTTTCAAGGTAGAAACAAAAAAAAAATGACTGCAAAACAAAACAGCTGTCCTGTTTACAAGAGTCTGTCTGAATTTGAGGGGGGTGTCAGCATTAGGATTTGATATGTTTAGGAGTGTAATCTCTTTTGGCTCAAATGGGCTCTGTGACACATTTACCTGATTAGGTATCCGAGTCATTGTTTAAACAGGGATTTCATATGCAGTGAAAATACACCGCACAGACTGATGAGATCAGACAGAGAGATCAGGATTAGGCACAATCAGCGGTGACCTCCACTGATGTTTGTATGGATTGATTGGTCTTTCCGACATTTGAGGGTGGAGAAATCACTTTTTCTCTTTGTCTTCCCATTATTCCCAGGAAAAGCTACAGCTGTGTATTGGTAAGCAAATCTGTACATAAAGCTAGAGAATGAGAGCATGGAACTAAATCCAAAAGGTCCAGATTTAGAGGGCAGACCAGAGACTGAACCGCTGTCCACATGGAGATATTAAGCGGATTTGTACATGACTTTTGTTACCATGTAGGCAGGGTGAAATTACTGGGTTACTGGGGTTTGGCGGGGGGGTCTGACCCCCCCTAAAGAAGTCTTGTTCCCCCCTGGGGATGGGGATGGGTGAACATGATGCAGGACGACTGAATGCGTGATGAAGCCTAGAATGCAGTTATATGAGCCTAATATTCAAGATATTAGGGCAAAAAATGGCAGTGGTTGGGTTTGTTTTATATTTGTATCATATAGTTTAGCAATATCACATGACTTGAACAAGAGAGCTTTTCCCCGAATATCTGTAAGATTGCAAATGTGATGTTGATTTTATACAAGTTTAATAAACAATAATTTAATATTGTGTTACATTTTAGACACAATATTGTCAATTTCGCCAATGAAAATATTACCTATAAAGCCCTACTAGAACTGTTGTGAGTCTCTAAACAACACAGCGGTGTTTCATTACTGAATGAATCCACGGTTTTGAACGAATCGATTGAGGTAATGATTCAGTGAGCCATTCATAAATACCGTCACTGGTTTCGCTTTTGAATGAATCAGCCCTTTGAATGAATCGGTTAAATGAAAAATGCCCGAAACGCAAACTGCCACTAAGAATCCTGGGAAATCTCGTTTTCTCATTTTTGTGCTCTCAAAGTTAAAATGTTAACTTTAAAACAATATATCTCAGCATATTCAAAGATAAACAAATTTGTATTTCTCAGATAATTTTTTCATAGTAATTTTTTTTAAATAGTTTTGCTTACCAATACACATTTGTATATACATATATATTACAAATGTATTTGCTTACAAATTAACCATTTTCCTAAATACAAAATAAAAATGAAAGCCTTTAAATATATATAATAAGATAAGAATAATAATATATAATAAGAAATGTGCATATACATTTTACAGTTTGTTTGCACTTCAATCAGCTTTCAAATAGCTGCTGTTCGATTTATTTAAATTTCTTAAGTTCAAACAATTAAATGGTTGATTGTAGGAGCCATAGTTGCGTAAAATA